AACATTACAAATTAGTTTATTACCAAAGATTTTGGCCTCCTCTCCTCTTGAACCATATTAAAATATATTTTGCCAAAGATTAATTTGAGGAGAGATACTATTTTACGGAATGGACTATTTTCACCTTTTAACAACAATGTCTTCCTTTTTGAGTCACAAAAATACATTTAAACATTATATTATAATATTGTATTATGACATGATATTATAATATACTGTATTCCCAAAGATCTTGGTTACCTCCCATTTCACTATCCATATAAAATTAATTTCCCAAAATAGTAATTTTAGGACAATTATCATTTTGCGAAATAGACTATTTCACTGAGCGGGAAAGATGAAGCCATTTTCGTCTCATACGATAAGTTTGGTAATATGCTAACATATAATGTTTAAATTCATTTTTGTGACATGAAAAGGTCACATTGTCACTGCAGGGTGAAAATAGTCGATCTCGCAGAATGGTAACACTTCTTAAATTACTTACTTTTGGCAATGTATTAAAATCCTTATCATGTTTAACATTTCCTCCAACCTTTACCTTATTGAACAATATACAGCATTATTCCTTTAGTTTTGCTATATGACTCGCTTAGTTTCTTTTTATTTTATTTAGTCTTCTTTCGCAAAATAGAATAAGCTAAGAAATATGTGTTTTAAAAGGCAAGAGGTTTAAGTTCGTGGTTAGTGCTTTGGTCAGCACCTTCTACACGTTTGTTGAAGAGATGCTCGTATTTTACGAGTTGGAACTTATAATTACTCTTGATATCACTATATTCGGTAGTTTTTGATGTTGATTCACTTATTTGTCATTGTTTTGTTGAATTTGGCTGGATTTGCTCGGCTTCTAGCTATGAAGTATGTGTTTTAATAGTAAAATGGGTTAAATTCTTGGATTGGTGCTTCGGTAAGCACTTTCTGCATATTTGTTGAAGACATCTTCGTATTTGCCACCCGTTTGCTTGTTTGTTCTGAGAGCAACACATAATATGTTTACATTCATTATTATTTGATATTGTTTGACCGAGTATCTATTATTTTTCTGAATCTGGTTAATTTACTTGGAAAATTCTAGAGTTACAAGTAATCTCTCCTCTGCCTTTTGTAACTTGTGTCCGAAAGACATGCTCTGGTTGGAATCCCGTAAATAACAGTCAGGTTTTTGAAGGGCATCAGCTTTGCCTGATGGACCATCTGCCTGCAAGTGCCTCATGGCACGAAAAATTTTATTTTACTTCAATTAATGTTATCAAAACATTGAACAGTTTTTAAGTTCCCATGGGGTGAAAATCTGTCAAAAGACCGTAGTGGCCTTATAATTCACTTGGCTTCCAAATCAGAAATGTGTTTTCAACATAGTTGTATCAAATCAATTTTCTATAGTTCACTCCTGGCTTTTTGTGAATAACATGATACATTCCTTCATTTTGAGCCTAAGGAACAACTGATACATGTCCTTTACTCCAGAAATATGTGAGCTACTGTTTATGAGTCACCCCTCAAGTCTTTCACATCAAGCATGAAATAAATATAATTTACTTCTTGTTCCCTTTCAACTTGCCTCACTTTCCAGCAGCGAAAATGCTCACTCAGGTTAAAGGACATCTTGGAGACTTCATTTTTAATTTTCACAATTTTTGGGGAAGTATGCCCTTTTCCCCCTGAGGAGGTTGATGCCCGTGGCAACACATTTGAAGGCTAATATGCAGTTGAAAATCTCACTATTTAACAGCAATTCAACTTCAGAGCTCTGAAGCCCACCCAGTTGAAGGTAACAAAAGGAGGTCTTGATTCATTAAAAAATTAAAGCGTCGTGTAAATACAAGGACAAACTTCGATTCTTTCTCCTTGTGTTCAAGGCTTCAAGAAAACCCAGAGGTTTTCATAAAACAAAAGGGGTCAGGTATATTTCACAAGGCAAATCACACCACGGGCTGGTTCATCAATTCATGAATGCCGCTCGCCTTTCGGTAAAATTGTCGCAACACATATTAATTTTTGCCTTACCCATGTGTCTTGTATAAACCATTTGCAACCCTCCTGGTAGTGGGCCTATCATGTAGTAGTCATGAAGGTAGTAAAGGGAGGTCCTGCAGTGAGGGTTCTATAGAATTGTGTGGGTCCACCCTCCCCCATTTGACTTTTAACCTTTAACACCCTAAGACATTGGTATTGATATTCTCCACACTGTTCTCTTTACATTTTCTATGCAACAGACAAGGAGAATTTATCAAAGAAGTATATTTGATAGTGAAATAAATAGAAAAGTCAGTTTGGAAAAACCACGTTGACTGTGTTATCGCTGAAATAAATGAGACCATACAAATGATTGCTACATGTAAGTTAAGATGCACTGTTCCATCATCTGTCTTCATAAATATTTATAAATCCTTCATTTTACCTAATATAACGTATGAACTCCCTGCTTAGGGCAATGGGTCTAAAAAGTATATAGTAAACAAAATTTTTGTTCTCCAAAAGCAAGTATTATGTTTAATTTACCTTACTGATAGAAAAGAACATGCCATCCACTTATTTATAAATGCAAAAATCTACCTTTTGCCGTCTTATATTATGAAGCTGTATGTAAATTAAAGCTCGATGTTCATAACAACAGGGCACATTCTAACATCATTAAACCTTTTGTGAGAACATCAAACAATTATTCCTAATAGTTACTCGCTCATCAACATTACGACTTGTTAGGATTAAGTACTCTAGGTGTCAAAATTTGGAATGAGATGCCATATGAATAGAAAAATTTGTCAAAGAAATCCTTCAAAAAAGAAACAAAAAAGGCTCTTCTCAATATTCTAGAGACTGAAGATTTTTATACCAAGCCTGATGAGATAATGGTTAAATTTAAACATGGCAAAATTGAAAAATTGAACTTGCAGTTGTGCAATATCTTTGGTGCACTTAGATACTCGGGATTTGTTTTTCTTTAAAACCACCTAAAAGACATTTAATTTGCCGAAAAAATCTTAAAAAGGTGAGATACAACAGAGAGAATGTTTTAGGAAACCTGTACAGAAGAGCGAAAGGTGTCATAATTAGAAAGGCCTCCAGCAGAGTGTTAACGTTTTCTGTAGGCTTTTGTCCAGGATCTCAATTTGCATATATTGTTTTCATCACATCTTGCACTGTACATTCACTGGGAATCTCTAACACATTTTGCAAAATGTTGAATAATGAGAGTCTTCATCAAATGGCCTAAAAGAGTGGACTAAAAGTGGAAGAAAGCACAAGCCAAAGAAATTGAAGTTAAGTTGTTCACTTTCACCAGGTTGCTTGATAACTTTTGGATTATGTTTAACTCATGTTCCCGTTTCACGAAATGACCTTTCCCGCAAATTTCAAAGGAGTTCTTTGTCAGGAGGCTTGCCAGGGGGTTCCATGTTGTGTTTCATTGGTCAGTGGCATGACCGCATTGACAAATGCTTTTGAAAAGGAGGCAAGAAAACTGTAAATTTCTTTGGAGGTCAAAAACTAGAGGTTTGTTTTTACACAAGTTACCACAGTCTGCATTAATAGGTAATGTAGATTTGCTGGGTTTTCATGAAAATTGCAATTAATTTTCCTCAGATATTATCACACAGAAGTGCATAAGGCTTTAATGAAATTTGAAATATTTCTCTCACAATTTATCGGAGTTTGACATCAAGGGAATTCCAACCTTACAATATATTTTCTCAGTAACCAATGGGAATATCGAAATTGCCTGACACGCTTTGTTAGCCTATTATCTGCTGAGTGATACTGTTCAGTTTGTTTCAAGGTCTGGAGTAACATAGAGGCTAGTAGTTCAGTAAAGCAAACACCATCAATGCCGCATTTAAATGCTTACGTGTGCCTACCAAAACAAACAAAAACTGTGAAAAGTTTTGTCATTGACAAAATGCAAGGCATGAAACCATTTTAAATTTAGTGCTCCTGCAATCATCACCATGCGCAAGATGATTGTAGCGAGATATTACACATCATCCTTGATCAATAAGAGCATGCACATTGCTATTAAATCACTTGACCAATTATAATAATACTTATTATCAGCACAAATCTACGAGACTAATTGTATAATTGTAATAGTGCGGTCTGCAGAGCAGTAGGGGATTGTAATCATCCTAACAGCATGTGGACTGGTAAACAAAAGTAAAAATGTACTGAGCTTAGTTAATTTGTTATTAAGTTTAGGACATAGTGGATTATTAGTAGATTATTATCTTTTAATAATTGATAAGGGTGGAGCCCAACAAGCTCTATATATTAACTGGCTTTGCTCCCACATTAGTGATGAAGACATAATTTCTCCTTGCAATATTGATACAATATAAAGCAGAAAGAAGGGTAATATATTCATTTAATACCCATAACATTAGAAGAATTGTATGGCAGACAGTAAGGGGAATTACGAATGAGATCTGAGTTTGGAGGGAAAGAGTTTACTACTTAGTGATAGAAATCCATATGACACTATAAGATGATTTTTAATTATTGTATTAAACATGTACATAAAGATATTAATAATTCCTATCTGTCCTAATTTCAGAAAGAAGTCACCTCTTCCAGGTGCATGTCTTAGTTTTCAAGTGAGGTAAGAATAATGTCTGTAAAATGAACAGATATGCTAAGAATTCTTGATCATTTCAATGACGTTAACTCTTTTCATTAAGAATACGAAATCCTGATCAATAGTTATAACATGGTTGATAAGAATTGTTGGCTTATTTAAGCTTGATATGTTTGAACAGGGGGTGAAGGGGGGGGGGATCTTGCACAGGTTACATCAAAAAGTTCAAATATTGCATCACTAAATATTGGGTAATTAAACAACTTTAAGGTTCACATAATTATTGCAAAAAGCAACAAATTTACAGTTCATGGGGTTTTACTTTCATACTTTCACAGATCGCAAAAATTAAAAACACTCAGTCGCACATCAAGCAAAAACCCCTTTCACACCCCTTATAATGAGGATGAATTGATCTTTACTACAGCACATGGCATCAGCTGCTACACCAGCATCTCCTTCTACCAAGGAGACAACCAACTATGCCCGACTCTGTCGCCTTCTGGTGGATGTTGGATCCCAAGCCTTGAGAGACACTTTTGATGCCATTCACCCTCCAGTAGGACTTCATACAGTTTTGGGGCGTCACCCAGAGCATGCAACACTAAAGTCTCTAAAGAACAAGAGGATCTTGAATCCTACACAATGGGGGAAGCTGTATCCAACTATTCCATCATCTGTTTCATCAGCAGGGTTTGATATCACACTACTGATGGTGTTACTGAGGAACATCTGTAAATTGGCTCCTCCCAGCACTGGATGGGACAGTCTTCCCCCTCCTGCAGACGTGAGTAAGCAGGCCAACATCGCCAGGTTGAAATACTACCGTAATACTGTGTATGGCCATGCCAGTCAAGCCTCTGTGGACGATGCTGCATTCAACAACTACTGGCAGGACATTAGCAATGCCATAGTGGGACTGGTAGGAGCAGGTTATGGAGCTGCTATCAGTAAGCTTAAGAATGGGTGCATGGACCCTGACACTGAAGAACACTTCAGACAGCTGCTGAAGCAGTGGAAGGAAGATGAAGACAATATTAAAGAAAAGCTCCAAGATATTGAAGGTAAATGTAATTCGTACTGAAGAATGTAACCTTAATCAAGCAAAAGGTGTCAGGAGGAATGACAAAATCAGCCCGGACATTTAAGCTTTGATTTCTGTAGTTATGCATCAGTTACAACTTTTCAATGTTACCCACTGGTCATCTACAGTCGCCATAATTCATATTGGCCAGGAATATTCGAGAAAATCTTCATCTAATCAGAAGCAAAATTAAAACCAATCACGATACAATGGTAAACAGACAGGTGCTGAAGATTAAGAAAACAAATCCGATTCGGGATATACCGCTTGATTAAATCCAGATTCTCAAAAACAGCTCAAGATAAAGAAAAATATATTTTTTCACTTGCTACGAGCGTGGGACATGAAAAATCGAACCTCGGACCTTTGGATTCCGCGTACCAATGCTCTACCACTGAGCCACAGAGACTCTATGGTGAGCTAAGCCCATTACACAGTTCATATATGACACGCGTCCTGCATGCTGCTAGGATCAGCAATGTCGAAAGCGACATGTTTTTATAAAGAATAAGAAAGATGGTAAATTTTAAGCTTGGTAAAAGAAATAGAGAAAGATGTTTTTCGTTTTGTCCCGAGCGTGTGAAAAAGAAAAAAAACAAAATAAAAGAGATAGAGAAAGAAAACTCTAGGATGCACATTAAACATCAAAAAAGACCTTAATCCGGTGAGATGTGAGGTTAGAAATATTGTGGAAAAATTGGATACGATGATGGCTCGACAACAGGAAACTAAGGATCGAGGTAAGTTTTTGACGAAACTCCATCCCTCTCGCTTAATCTCTGATCGAAAATAGATTATCTTTTGGCATGAGGTTTATCAATCTTTAGCACAAATCTTTGTTAGTTTTTAACGCTTGTTTGAGTGTTATTTGTATCTGAGAAGAAATTTCATCGTTTCAATGAGGATTTAGACTCAATTTCTAAGGGAAAGCCCTAACCCATAAAACTCTGAAATACGCTTTTACCCTCAGGTAAACTGACGAGATGATGAGAAGTGAAGTTGGAAACATACATGACAAGTTGAAGAGTTTCATGATGGCCCGACAAGAGGAAACGCAACTTCAAGGTCAGTCCCTATGGCAGCTATGAATTTAAGGGCGATTCATCTATGGAAATGCTAAGCTTTGGGAGAGTTATTTCTAAGTGAGTGTTCATAAGAAGAAGAACGTTGCATTTTTCGAGTGAACTACATTAAAACAGATTAAACCTATATAACCTCGTGGAAAGAAGAAAAGCGCTCGTTGTTACCGTAGGGATTAAGAGTGCCGATTTGGAGGATAAATTTTTCTTCTGGTGTTTTGCAGCTTTCTGAACCGCCTAGATGAAGGGAAAGGCCGCAAACTGCCATATGTTGTTTAGAACGATAAGGGAGACTAAAGTGTCTCATTGTTTGTGTAAAACCGCGGTTTGGGTTAGACCTCGTTTAAAGGAGCGGCCCCAAAGTCTGTAAACCAACGAGGCTCAAACTGCACATAATAAACTAGCCAAATGCACTAGCAAAACTTGGCATGTGATCGCACGGAAATCATGAACAATACAATAAAAAGGTGCTGTTTGTTTCCGAAACAGATTATAAAGAACAAAAATTTGAACGAAAATTCTGAAGATAAGCAATGAATAATGCTTAATTTTCACTGAAAGTAGACCTGTGTCTTGAGGGTGCGAAAAGATGCTCTTTAGAAGGATTTGCAATAAGACCTCTCATCGCCGTTTGTGCAACTGGCGGGGCTATCATGTTTAGGTTTTGCTCTACAGTCCTCTTCCGGGCACAGCCGCCTATTAAACCATCGTCATCCACGTGTGGAAATAGTTACTGAAACCTCTGCCAAAGCCATTTGATATGTTGCACAACAGAGATGGGAATTAATGTTAATGTTTAGCAATGACGTTAAGTTATTTTTGAAAAGTTTATTGTTTTTCATACACGATGTATTTTAAATGGAGTGGCCATCAGTTAACGCTTCTGCTCCGCTAATAATATTGAAATGTTCATCCTCAGGGGATTACCTTGATCCAATCAAAATTGATGTTCGAAACGTGAGTCACAGGTTGGACGATTTGGTGGCACAACAAAGAGCAACTGAGCAGCAAGGTGCGTACTGCGCTAACTAACTGACAATTTGAATACTGGCTCCAGTTAGTTTTTAAGGGCGAGGCTTGAATCAGTTATCACACATGAAACTGAGAGCGAAAAATCCAAAAGTTTAATTTAATCTAAAAGTCATGCAAGACTTGGAAAAAAGGCAGGCTCGTGTTTTTATTGAATATTAATACAAATGGACCATCCCCTGTGCTGTTTACATTTCTTTCTATCTGTCACGGAATAAATAGTGAGTAGCCTAGCCAATCAGATTGCAGCATTTGCGAGCGAACGTATATTTACACTAAACCCAATAATATCAGCGCATGGGGAGAATAACAAAAAATTAGTTTGAAATATTGGGGTAGGAATCAGTTACAGCAATTGTTATTTCATCACAAATTGAATCAGATGCCTCCATGGGAAAAATAAACCCATCATAATTTACCTCACATCCAACGTGTGGCTTCGTAGTTCAGTTGTAAGCAGCACGGTATCTCATGAGGAGCTTTGGCCCCGAAAAGAATTCGCAGCACGCATTCTACAGGGGCGCGATCATTTCTGTCATCGGTGTAGAGAATTACTTTAACGCTTGCAGTCGGTAGGTGTCAATGCGGTTATTAAAACCTGTTGATTTTAACTTAGGGCCAGTTTACATGGAGGTGGGGGACCCCAAGTAGGTGAGGTGACCCGCCTAGGTGAGGTTACCAGCCTTTCCATATAATCTCTCATTTTATCTTGATCACGTTTACATGATAGGTGGGGTAGCCCGCCAAGGCGGATTGCCCGGTCTGCCAGATAGAGTAACCCTGTATGCCGGGGTGACAATTTGCCATGTAAACGTCCCAAGATGGGGTAACCCACCTAGCCGGGGTCGCGTTCATGGCATAAAGCTCAACACGTATGTTTTAAAACTTTGTACATTTCGTAACCGTCTCATGGTAGAAATTACCAGAAACCGCAACAGACACACAAGGAGTGTAAAATTTTTACATTTTGGAATATTTAGCGTTGTAAATCGACCATATTTCGTTTCCCAAACTATTCCTTATAACGTATTCAGTCTACGATTCCTCGCGTAACCTAACACCGCGTAACACAACGCGTGACGCTTTCATGAATAAATACAAATGTGTCCGAGAATTAATCTTTCGTCTTTCTCGAGATGTGAGCTTGGGACGCCTATGCTGAAACTCCCTAATTGCAAGCACAACAGCAACCTCAAGAAACCTCACCCCAGCACCCCGAGGTTGTAAGATTGCATGTAAACGCGTTTTATTTTTCGACCACGGCTAGGCGGGTTACCTCAACTACCCGGGGTCCCCCACCTCCATGTTAACAGGCCTTTAAAGGTTCACCTGATAACTAATACCTCATCTAATTTTAAAAGCGCGAATTTCAATTACGAAACCACAATAAATCTTGGAACGGAATCACTTGGCGCAATCTCTTCATGGAGGCCAAAGTCTTCCATCGATCGGCTGAGTTTTCTAGAGTTACGGGATACAGTCTCAACCAGATGTGCTAACGAAAAGTTAATGTGGAATCAAGCCGATTGCTTTTGCAAAGAACGAAGTCTTTCGTCGATTCCCCGATGACTGCAATACGTTCTGTCCCACCAGCAGTTCTCAACCGCGCCAACAAAGGCTGTTCGTTAAATACCACGTCACCAAACATGTTGTATGCTCATTTGGTCTCTGTGCCGGATTAATTAGACAGCGAGAATTTCCTGCAGATGCATTCGTGAGGTCTCAAAATGTAATGTTGGAAACTGCGCGATACGTCAATTATTCTTAATTTGATTGACATTTATAAGTGATTTCGTTTAACAAACAGCATGTATGCGGCACGTATTTTATTGCCCCTTATATGGCATTGTTCCACTTGCTTACAGCGGACGTTCAGTGCGTATTTTTTCGAATAAGTCGAGAGTTGTGAGTGGGAGTTAACCAAAGCGTTGAAATAGAATCGTTAAATCAAGTGAATAATCCGTGACTTAATTAGGAAGCGTGGTACAGCCTTTTCACGTTTTCGACAATAATCCTGTTAAATCAAATCGCTCTCGACCGTACACTTTAGGTGGGAAATACCTCTGGTCGAATAATCATGGGGAATTGCAGAGATGTCGGTCAAGAATAGCCGAGCTTGACAAAGACATTCGGGAACCAGTAAAGGATAATGATTATATAAGTTAACGGTGGATGCCTCAACTTTCAGTCAAAAGAAAGAGTCCAGGCAAAGAACGGTCTCCTGATATTAACTAGTGTGAATTCAATTTTTTCGTTTCCTACCTGAGGGTTAATTTTTAATCTCTCCTATACCCTCTCGGATAGTGCATACCTGAGGGTTATTTTTAATCTCTACTCTACCCTCCTGGGTAGTGTATACCTGAGTGTTACCTTTAATCTCAAATATACCCTCTTGTGTAGTGTATACCTGAGGGTTATTTTCAATCTCTTCTATACCCTCTTGGGTAGTGTATACCTGAGGGTTATTTTCAATCTCTTCTATCCCCTCTTGGGTAGTGTATACCTGAGGGTTATTTTCAACCTCTTCTATATCCTCCTGGGTAGTGTATACCTAAGGGTTACTTTAAATGTCTCCTATACCCTCTTGGGTAGTGTATACCTGAGGGTTACTTTTAATTTCTACTATACCCTCTTGGGTAGTGTATACCTAAGGGTTACTTTAAATCACTACTATACCCTCTTGGGTAGTGTATACCTAAGGGTTACTTTTAATCTCTTCTATACCCTCTTGGGTAGTGTATACCTGAGGATTATTTTTATGGTCTTCTTTACCCTCCTTCACGGCAGTTCCGTTAGACGATATTCATAAGCGTGGATTTGCTTACAATAACCTTAAACGTTGTTTTAGAGAAACGTGAAGCCTAGCTTCTACCCTGTTATAGTCAATTTTGGCAAGAGGGTTGTCTTCGGAAAAGCTAAAAATGCCGTTCCAAAACCTTCGCATTTTAAAGGTCATTTTGCATTGTGCCGAAGCATGTAGACGGAGCAGGGAGACCATCAGTTGAAAGCGATGTATATTCTCTGGATTATCTAATCATCACAGTTTCCGGTCCTTAAAAGTTCAAAACCATTACCTGTGTAAAGAAGGGTTTGTCTGAGTTAGCCTTACATAGGCCTAGGCCTTTGATCATGGAGATAAAATCAGCTTTACCAGTGCCGCTTTTAAGGCAATTTTTGAGTTTCTTCTTTTACGTGTTTCAAATTGTTCCTGTTATATGTTGCTCTAACATTTGGCCAGGACTATTTGTGGACCTTGTGTTAACGATTTACCGTTGTCTTCTTTAAGACATGCATTGTTTCTACAAAGAAAATAAGCTTAGCGTACCGCCCCTTAGGTTATTTCGAATTAGATCCGTTAAGTTTCCTCGAGGAATTTCCCAGAGCTCTTGTTTCTGGACAATGTGCGAACAAAGTAGTGTTGCATCTGGAAAATGATTAGAAATGTAATTATGGGAAGTTGCAGTTTTTTTTTCATTTCATTCGGAAGCACGGGTTCGAATTTCATCGAAGCCTGAACCTTTTCACAGATTTATTCCTGTAACTTTTAAAATTATCGCTTACCTGTAGGTATCATGGCTTTATTTATCACAGAATGGTAATAAATAACAGTCACTGGCATTGTAGAGGATCCAAACCTCAAACTTTTCGATTTCATTTTACCAACTGAGCCAAAGAGGCAAGTTAGAGAATCATCTCATCTTCCAGGCTGATTTTTTGACCAAGATCTGGCATATAGTTAACATGACGCAGGGAGAGGAAGCGGGCTGATAAATTTTTAGGCTTTTTCGTAGAGACTATGTAAAGATCTCTCAATTTTAAAATCAGAAATTATCATAGGACAGTTGATAATTAGTATTTATGTAAACGATCTACCAGATGTTTGTCAAAATTGTTCAACTGCTTGCTACGTGGATGACTAAGCTCCTATTGTCTTTGACCGTGAACGACTCTGCTTGGATCACTCAAAGTGTTAATTCCGACTTACAACGGATTCGCAATTGGTGTTTCAACAATTGTTCGATGCTTAATTCAGATAAGACGAAACTAATAGTTTTTGGCAGCCGAAGAATGTCTTCCAAATTACTGGACTTTAAATTATCCCCACTAGGAAAAGACATCAACCCGGCTCAATCAGTCAAAGACCTTGGAGTAATTCCTGATCCCACTCTATCTTTTGATAATCATATTTCTACTGTAGTATCGTCTTGCATGTCGAAATTATCTCAAATAAGCCGTATTACGTTTTCGATAAACAACTGCTTGAAACCATGATAAACGCGTATGTTTTCAGTAAACGATATTACTGTTCATCAGTATGGTCATCCACCTCAGCCTGTAATATTCGTAAATTGCTATACGTTCAAAACTTTGCCGCGCGAACTATCTGCAACGTAATGAAGTATGACCATATCTCTCCTGTATTAAGAAACTTACGTTGGCTCCCTGTAAAAACACAACTGTATTGCCGAGATGCTACTTTAACATTTAAATGTATGACGGATCAAGCCCTGGAATACTTAACATCTATGTATATAACAAGAGGCAGCGTATCTGGACGTATAAACAGAAACTTTCAACGACTAAACATTCCTCTTTGTAAAACTGCGACAGGACAGAAAACATTTTGTTATAAAAGTGTATCTATCTGGAACAAGTTAGATCCAAGCCTTAAATTATGTAAGAGTTCCGCTTCCTTTAAGAGAGCTCTAAAAAAATCCCCTTTTGAATGAATTTTTAAACTGACCATATTTTATTTAAAGACATATAATTCGTATTATATTGTATATATTTTAATTTGTGATCCAATTTCTTTACTGAAAAGCGGCAGATGGGGATGTGTTCAATACGTGTATGTAAATGTATCTCTACTTTTTCCCGTCTAAAGAAGGCACCGATGACGTAATTCTTTGGTCATACAGGTTTGAATACCTTAGACTCTCTAAACTCAAATGTGAAAGAACAGAGAACAATTCTTTTCAAAAAGTTCCTTATTAACACGTTGACCGAACGCTTATCAATATGATATCCAATACGTTTTGTTCGCGTTTTGTTTAAAAAATCAATTTGTGTGTTCTTAATGCTCTACCCTACTATCTTTTCTTTTTAAAATTGTTAAAATCTAAGATTTATGCATAATTCTGCTGTCACCTAAGCAAAATCACCAAAAGTTTGTAGTCACTTAGGCGAAGAAAATTAATAAGTGAAAAGTGTTTTTACATTTCTATAATTTCGATCATCTTATTAGAAGAAATCCACCGGTTTTCTTTGGCCTGGCCTAGACTTGAGAAATATCACCCAAGAAAGAAAGAGTACTTTTGACCAATTTAAAAAACCGGCTAACGGGTGCTTTTAAATAAATTATGGCTAACCTCTGAGTGAACACATATCAAAATTGAAATGCCTTCTAAACCCCTTATATATCACAAAATTGAGGAACACAAACGATTTCTTGTTGCATGTGGTGCGTTACGAGGAGCGAGCTTGTCAACTTTTGAAATTTTTGACGTCGCAAAAGGTCAAAAAAGGGCTTTTTGCAGCTTTGACTATTGAGAGCTCTCAAAGGATTTTTTAAGGTATTTCCAGAATTCAACGTGGTTTTATTTACCTACTACCAAAGATAATTTAATGGGCAGAGTTTGAGGCAAAACTTTTCTCTGATGCGAAAGGCCTTGGACCACTCTTACAGAGATCGCCACTTAATTGATATGCAGTACCGTAAGAAATTGCCTTCATAACCCATTAAATGCAGCGGATATTGATCATGTCGAGTTCAGAGTCTGCCTAGTTTCCGAGCCCCTCGACCGTGTAGTGTTCGCAAAATTTTGCACCCTCAGAGAGAAATGTTTTATTTTTAAGTTGTTTTCAAAATGAAAAAAATATCTGTTTGATTACGGTTTTTTTTTCATGTTATTATGAATTAACAAACTTCGTGTCAATAATATCTGCTTCAGCCTTCAACTTCGTCTGATAACTCAGACCTAAGTGGTGATATTTCACGATATCATTCTCAGTGTCATCGTATAATTGCTAATTTTTCCGAGAGTAATGGCGTCATATAGCGTGTCGGTAAGAATGCCTCATAAAACTAACAACTAATTCTTTTTCAGATAGATTTGACCCAACTGGAATTATTGATAATATTCGTCAACTCTACAAAAATCGGGAAGGTTGGCTGGCACCGTTTCCCTGGTGTGAAGATTTTCACTTCTCCTTTGACGACATCTACACCAGACTTAAAGTCATCTACAGAGAGAAAACGAGAGGAACCGCAACAGACCGAGTTGTCACGATGTCTGAAATCTTCAACCAGCACGAGGAATGTGAAGAACCAAGAGTAGTGTTAATTGAAGGGAAGCCTGGTATGGGAAAGACCACTTACTGTAAAAAAGTTGTTTTCGACTGGGCCACAGGAAAACACGCAACCGGAAATTGCTTCACAAACTTCGTAATAGTGCTTTTGATCAAATGTCGTGATGTTCAGTCTGGCCTTTGGGAGGCCATTGAAGATCAAATTCTGCCTCGAGAAGTTGGTGAAGACGAACGCGAGAGATTCTTCGACTTCATTCGCCACAACCAATCTAATGTTCTTCTAATACTCGATGGATTGGATGAAGTTTCTGAGGAGAAGCTAGCTATGTTTTCAGAAGTTATTGAAGGGCGAGTACTGCCAAACTGTCGCGTGGTTGCTACGGCACGACACGAAGCTGGAGTCAAAGTTCGAAAATACTGCGACACGCTGTTAGAAGTTGAGGGATTTACTGAAAAGGATGTACACTCCTTCATCAGAAAGTACTTCAAAGACAAACCAAACTTGGCCCAGCAGCTTACCAAACACATATTTGCTGATTACAATTTATATGAAATATCGACGAATCCTCTCAACACTGCGCTTCTTTGCCTGGTCTATGAAGATTTGAACGGTGTATTTCCTAAAAGCAGAACGAAGCTGTACATGGAAATAGTAGAGTGTGTATTGAGAAGGTACAGAACAAAGCAGCAACTACCAGAGAACGGTGAAGACCTTGTTGACCTTTACGAAAGCCAATTGAAACACCTTGGTTCGATAGCTTTGAAAGGTTTACTTGAAGACAACTTGGATTTTGACGAGAAGGAGCTTGGAAAACACAAAGCAAGCAATTTACCTGGATTCGGATTTCTGTCAGTTCAGCCTGGAGGCAGTAAACTAAGACCAACCAGACGTTATGGCTTTCTTCACAAGACTTTCCAAGAATTCTTCGCAGCATTCTACCTCAGTCGTCAGCTTATCCGGAAAGAAATCAGCACGAACAGCATAGCTGCTGACGAAAAATATCGCTATCAGCTGAAAGAAGTGCTTCTGTATACATTCGGTATGCTTGCAGCACTATGCGAGAAAACAGCGGTAAACCTTCTTAAAAGTATAACAACAAAAAAGATAGACTTTACTCTTATATTAGAGTGTGTTGATGAATGCAAAAAGGAAAACAAAAGTGTTACTGAAAAATTGGCTTCCGCCGTTGGTGCTTCTCTTAAAATTAAATTTCTAATTTTTTCAGAGAAAGAACTAGATGAAACTTTTGTTCTCTTTTTAAACAACGTTCTTAAAACAAATACAACTGTGACAACGTATAAAGTGTGTAACTCTTTGATAGATGTGGCTGCTGCTCTAGCTGAGAGTTTGAAATATAACAAATCGCTGACAACGTTGAATTTGAGTTTTAATGAAATTGGCGATAATGGTGCTGCTGCTCTGGGTGAGTGTTTGAAATATAACAAATCGCTGACAACGTTGAATTTGGATAATAATAAAATTGGTGATGATGGTGCTGCTGCTCTGGGTGAGTGTTTGAAATATAACAAATCGCTTACAACGTTGAATTTGAATCATAATGAAATCGGTGATTGTGGTGCTGCTGCTCTTGGTGAGTGTTTGAAATATAACAAATCGCTGACAACGTTGAATTTGAGTTTTAATGAAATTGGCGATGATGGTGCTGCTGCTCTGGGTGATTGTTTGAAATATAACAAATCGCTGACATCGTTGGATTTGGATAACAATAAAATTGGTGGTGATGGTGCTGCTGCTCTGGGTGAGTGTTTGAAATATAACAAATCGCTGACAACGTTGAACTTGGGTTCTAATGAAATTGGTAATGATGGTGCTGCTGCTCTGGGTAAGTGTTTGAAATGTAACAAATCGCTGACAACTTTGCACTTGGGTTCTAATGAAATTGGCGATGATGGTGCTGCTGCTCTTGGTGAGTGTTTGAAATATAAAAAATCGCCGACAACGTTGAATTTGGGTTTTAATGAAATTGGTGATGATGGTGCTGCTGCTCTGGGTGAGTGTTTGAAATATAACAAATCGCTGACAACGTTGAATTTGGGTTTTAATGAAATTGGCGATGATGGTGCTGCTGCTCTGGGTGAGTGTTTGAAATATAACAAATCGCTGACAACGTTGAATTTGGATAATAATAAAATTGGTGATGATGGTGCTGCTGCTCTGGGTGAGTGTTTGAAATATAACAAATCGCTTACAACGTTGAATTTGAATCATAATGAAATCGGTGATTGTGGTGCTGCTGCTCTTGGTGAGTGTTTGAAATATAACAAATCGCTGACAACGTTGAATTTGAGTTTTAATGAAATTGGCGATGATGGTGCTGCTGCTCTGGGTGATTGTTTGAAATATAACAAATCGCTGACATCGTTGGATTTGGATAACAATAAAATTGGTGGTGATGGTGCTGCTGCTCTGGGTGAGTGTTTGAAATATAACAAATCGCTGACAACGTTGAACTTGGGTTCTAATGAAATTGGTAATGATGGTGCTGCTGCTCTGGGTAAGTGTTTGAAATGTAACAAATCGCTGACAACTTTGCACTTGGGTTCTAATGAAATTGGCGATGATGGTGCTGCTGCTCTTGGTGAGTGTTTGAAATATAAAAAATCGCCGACAACGTTGAATTTGGGTTTTAATGAAATTGGTGATGATGGTGCTGCTGCTCTGGGTGAGTGTTTGAAATATAACAAATCGCTGACAACGTTGAATTTGGGTTTTAATGAAATTGGCGATGATGGTGCTGCTGCTCTGGGTGAGTGTTTGAAATATAACAAATCGCTGACAACGCTGTATTTGAATCGTACTATAATTGGTGATGATGGTGCTGCTGCTCTGGGGGAGTGTTTGAAATATAACAAATCGCTGACAACGTTGAATTTGAATCGTACTAAAATTGGTGGTGATGGTGCTGCTGCTCTGGGTGAGTGTTTGAAATATAACAAATCGCTGACAATGTTGAATTTTAATTATAATGAAATTGGTGATGATGGTGCTGCTGCTCTGGTTGTTGCGCAGGAGTGCCATCCACATCTGGCAATACTTGGCTTATCACGAAAACATGTCTACCTTGCCTTATGACCAACTTTAAGAAGCGTTTACGTCAGGAATAAGCAGCGATTAATGACTCTGACCTTGAACAGGGTAAATGTACAGTGGCTTCTATTTATCGATTTCAGTATTAGTATAAGACTTACGTAGCATGTCTGCCAAAATTATTTACTTTTGTAAGAGCTTTTATAAAAGCTTGCACGTTTAGTCAAGAGACCGTTACACTTTATTACAATCTTATCTGCACAGCTTTTACCTTGTCACGTTTAATGGATAAAGCTGCTAAAAGAAACTATGCTTCATCTGTAACGCGCGTGCGTGTAAACCACCAGATTATCCGCGCGAGGATAATTTGGAAACACTGACTGCCTCGGATTTTGTTTTAGTTGAAAATTGGATGTAATATTTTTTTGTCTTTAGCAATAAATTCTGCTCACATATTTTTTTTTGAGAGGGACTGTCATAATTGGTTAAACGTTAGAGTAATTATTCTTTGGTGATCAGTTTATTGATTCTCATAAACTTACTTCAGTGTGATAATCTGCTGACACTTAAGTCCTGTGAGAAATTTGAAATTGATAACCCTTAGGGTGCAAAGAGTTAATTAATCGAGTTGTAGCCATGTTGTATGGCAAGACTCTTTAAGATGACTATATGAAGCTTTGCAGTAGGCTGTGAAGAACAATTTATTTTTCGAAGTGAACTTTTTTTTAGAAAAGTTTTCGCAAGATATTTTTTTAATTTTGTAAGGGTAAGTTAACTTGAACCATTTATGTATTTCTTAAGACGTAACTGATATAAATAAAGGTAATTTCAGTAGAATTTCAGTTTTTCTCCTCTATTTTTTGTTGATGTGTTTACTTTTTTTGGGTTCTTCCAGAAAGTCCGTTTGATTACGATGTTCCTTAGCCTGCTGCTTCCTTTCTTCAATTCCCTTTTTTCGTTTGATATTTCTTGTAAACTGACTCATGGTCGATGCAATTTGATTTTAGGAATTTAGGGTTTTAATCTGCTTATACAGAAAAACTGGGTGAAGGAGTGACTTAACTTGCTAAATGAAATCAGAGAATACCTATGGCCAACTCGTGCATAGTGTTCTTCATCTAGCGATGAAACGTGGTTGTGAACCTGTAATTATATTCCTTGTAGCAATGCAAGGTTGCTCTTATCTCAAAAGCCGAGCATGGTAACCATCACCTCCGCTGAGAAATAAACGCATATATAGTCTTTAGAAACAGCACAAAATAGTATCCTGCGTTTATCGAATTTCTGTTCGCAAAATTTGTCAAATTTAGACGCTGCAATCTAAGTCTTTCTTCGCCTGCACAAGCCAAATTTTGCTATTTTCCATTGATATGTCACGTTCCGCCTCAGCTGCTCAAGAAAACAGTCTTTGTTTACAGCCTTAATCCTCTAACTCCCAGATCAAATTTGTAATTCTCCTACTGTCAACCATTCAATTCTTGTAATGCTAGTTCAGAGAATTTAGTATTGAATCAAATAATTATCCCTAAATTGATATTTCTCTTTATTCTCATCACTTATCTGGTTGATATTGTATTGATATTGTGAGGAGAAATTCTGTCTTGGTTACTCATGGGAGTTAAAGAGTTGACTCCCGCGTGTATCTGATAACAAAACTCTTTAAGTTTTCTGCCTCGGAACAAATTACCTCAGAAGGCATTTTAGGCGATCACAATATTTTTGTCTGATTGGAAATAAACATATGCGGTAGTGAATTCCACACGTTTTCTTTTTTCAGAAAAGCACAGGATTATTTTCGTCTGCTTCCGACCGATTCAGTCGCCAGTGCTCAGTTTACATAACATAATCGAATTTAATCATGGTTCATGTTTGACATCAGATTATAAACAAGCGAAGCGATTCACAGTAGTGGGTTTGTGCCTGAACTCGATAAAATTTTTTCACTTGCAAGATTATATCTAAAGCAACGATGCTTAATATGTAACAATGCCTTACTAATGTCACGTGCGGTTACTACTCCAATGTGGTTTCGTGCTCGAGCGAGTTCGGGACGACTAATTACCAGTGTCTACATCTTAGTGAGTGAGTGACTCATTTGCATATCTGAGTCTTCATAAAAACTCTTTTGCACGAGTTAAAAATGAGAAAGGAAAGAGAAAAGAGAGAAAAGATATTGACCATAGCAACAGGTTACCCAGGTGTTCAAACTTTCCCCACCCCCTCCCCTCCTCGGTTGTTTATTTCTGAGAGAGAGGTAGGAGCGGGAAAAGCAAGAAAAAAGGATGAGGGAAGAGTGAATTAAAATCTGGCTCTGTACCACAGGTTCACCAGCCTTTAAAGAATATAAAACGAAAGGAAAAAGAATAAATGGAAGAGATATAAAGTGCCTTGTTTTTTTTTTGTTTTTTTTGCGTTTTCTGCTTAATAACTGTATTCGAAATTTGAAATTATCGACCTTAGCGCCTTGTGAGTTCTCCTTGACCATTTTTTTGCGCATTAAAAGTGCAATTTGGCGAACAAAAAGTGTCCCCATTTAGTGCGCGGCCAAAAAGATCATGTTACGTAGCTGTGACATAGAAAACTGTGCAGAAACTTTGTCGCAGAAAGGAGGAATGAAGAGGAGACGACGAACGGACGTTGCACCAAATGAGGTTAGATAAAAGAATGATAGACCTACACCGGATATTTCCATACTCCACTTTCCAAAGGATGTAGCTGTATGGCCAAAATGGACGCGTTTCCATCGTAGTCATAGGGGAGATTTTACTCTTTAAAGTCGTCGGCCTTATGCTCCGTTTCTGCTTCGAAGACGGCTGTCACGAACACATACCACTGGTCAAATCAGGGGAACTTAGATTGCCAGTGAATTCAGCTGAAAAGAATGCTGATTAAGGGGCCTATTCCACATCGGACACGATTATACCACATTCTTTTCGACTGACATTACGCAAGCGAAAAATGGTGAGCTTCTCAATGTTGTTTATTTCACGCGCTCGAAAGGTACTTGTACTCTTTGTCTTTCTACATCATTAAATTTGCGCTTTTCTGATCGTTTGATAATCCTACCTGTTGTAGTTTCCATCGAATTTTACAAGCAGAAATACATCATTTGTATTAAAAGTCAAGCCCTTTCCTGAGCTGACCGGTATCCTGTTGCCTGAACAGTGCGAAACCTCTGGCGGATATTGGCATAAACACAAGCTCGAAGGGGCCTTGTGTTCTACCCACCTGGGTTTCCGAAAATCCATTCCATGGGCCATCAATTCCCCTATGCCCTCAAGAAACTAAAAGTAGCAAAAATAGCAATGTCATCGTGATAACAGCACTGCAACGCGACGAATTATAAAACACAAATACTATTGAATTTGATATTAGCGAATCCGAGTGCTGTATGAAAGTCAGTGCATACGAAATATTCATTTACAAAACTGATGTCCGCAGTTATTTGCCAGTGAGTGAAATGGGTCACGTGGCAATGCTGCACTCAAACTAAAGAGGTCTTTCTCTATTAAAACTCTTATTGATGAATATAAACTCACTCGTTTTCATTTAAACGGCTCGACGACGATAGCCTCTACCTTTACAGGAAAGGAGCAACTTGCAGTAAAACCAATCGATGACTTTTTGGTGAAAATTATCGTGCGTGCTACGTGATTCATCTGATTCTTTCGATGCTGCCGTCAAAAGTAAGCTTTTGGTTTGCCAAACAGCAACGAAACCCAAGAGCACTGACCATGCAAGGCGAACCTTTGCCGCACCTAATACGAAAGAATAATTTGTTCGGGCAACAGAAAAGAACACAGCTTCCCATTCTTGCTATAGAACTTAAAATTTAGTAACGGGAGTGTATTGTTCTAATCTTGACCTTAACACCGCAAGCGAGAAATCGTCTTTGTCCTTTTTTTAGTCTTGGTCTAAATCTTTGTTTGATGCACACAGTTCTTCTGAACCGTACTTGCAACTGTCTTTTCTCTTTTAATACTTGAGTACGATGTATCACAACTCTCTAAGAGCTTGCTGAAGGTAGATAGACATACTTATCAAGCATCATTTCAAGAGTTTTTCAAAGCTGACTGATACAAAATGGCAAGAGATCTAAGAAATTTGTAAGTAACAACCAAGAATGTTCACACTTTTCTACGTTATCGCCGGCTAAATCGTTACTAGTCTACCAGACACTTTAAGGACAAACTAAGAGCACTTTAGGGCCCGAAAAAACCGATTTTCATTTTTTTGAAATTTTACTTCTATCGGAATTGGTTTGAATATTTGATAAGCTAAACAGATACGCAAATAGAAAGTCCCTGTCATAAACACATTAAGAAGAGAAGAGACACCAAGCTTAAGCTGTGCATGTCTGAGAAGCTATCCATGTCTAATAAAAAAAGATCGTGAATTAATCAAAAAGAGCAGGAGGGGGAGTCCTACCCTAAAACTATCAATTTTCCGCATGCTCCTTACGTCCCCCCCCCCCCTCTTCCCCATCATGCACTCAGGAGGGGAGGTCAATTTTAGAAAGAGGGGTTCAAAATTCTCCGTACCTCTCTCCCACCGTCATCAAACCATTCATGTAACCTTGAGGGAAGTGAAGTTTACAAGAAAGGTGCGAATTCACCTTCCGACATCCCCCTCCCCCTCCCCCTCCCCCTTCCCCTCCTCCACACACACACACGCATGCGCCAAACCCCTGATACACCCTTGAGTGGAAGTCAAGTTTACATAAAGGGGTATATATGCTATCATCCCGCGAGTAACTCGAGGAGCGGGGGCAAGTTTCCCAAGAAACTGTGGTGCTGCGTCAGTGGGGGATATAACAAGATGATTTGGTTTTGTTAACCGAATTGAAAATGTGAATTGGCCACTGTAAAAGTTTCTAAAGGCATTTTGAGCGTTAGTACTCGGGGGCTAACATTCCAAATGTTAGCTTAGAAACTCTTTGCGGTGGCCAAGTTATATTAAATAGTTCATCTGATAAAACCAAATCAAATTAAATTTGCTTTTGAGTCACTGGCGTGTTCGGGCTTGTGGCGATTTGACTGATCGCTTTGATTGACAGGATTCGTTTTCTTTTCCTTTCTCCTTTATTTTTGGTACGTACCTTTACTAAAGCAGACTTTTGTGTTTAGCCCCTCCTCCTCACCCGCCCACCCTACGTCCCCAAGCTCTGCCGTCCCTATAGAATTGTTACAGTTAAAGATATATTTTTACCTAGACACCCAACATGACATGAAAACGCAAACGATCGACAGACATTGTGCAGTCAGAGCGCGGGAGGGTTGAGGGAAAAAGTTGTGTTCCCTTGTCATAACAATCAGAATACTTGGTGTCATTTTGTCTGACTTTTATTTACTTGAAATTTCAAATCGCTGTCCTATCATTAAAAACGTACTCTCTTCAAAAGCCTTTCTCTTAGTCAAGAATCAAACATTAAACAAAGCTCTTTTACAAAAGATTCATCGATTCACCAAAAATATTCATACGTCCTTTTTTTTATGCAACCACATATTACACTCCGAATTCGCTGTACAAAAATAAACGTCCTTTGGAACTTTACATCTATAACTATGACTCTCTTTTCCATTACCTTAAAACTGGCTTCATTTTTTTGTCTTAATTAGTCCCTATTTTCATTTTAATTTCAATTCTTACCACTTTCAATAGAACATTCTTATTGACCAGACATTATTTATGGCCTGAGCGTGGAGGAGGGGGGAATTTTTGTTCTGTCGCCATAAAACTCACCTGATCTCCCCCCTAAGGCTCTGTAAGATTCTTATCATACCCCCCCCTTTCTCTCATTAGCAGTTAACTGGTAGCTCATTTTCTATAGTCCCCTCCCCCCTTTATATTCTGTCGGCGACGACTGATTCCCCCTCTGTTCCCTCTGAAAACCATGTGATCACTTACCCCCTCCCTCCCCCCCCCAGGCGATAACTAATGACTGGTTCTGGTTGCTTGATCTCTACGTTGTCTTCACTATCATTTATATCTCAAACTCTTTTGACCTACGCTGTTCAATTTTGTGATAGGCGATCGCGAATTGCATAGCATGGCATAAATTATTTTATCATATAACTTTGTTCGTACGTGCGTTATGATTGGTCAATTTAGGCAGGTCGTTTTTCACTACACGGCCCGCTAAATTCAAATGTCTGTGTGAATTGAAATCTTTCCTTTCTGTTTGAACTCAGATATATGATAAATATCCTACTAAAACCTCGTTTTCCAGGTCCTTCCTGTAAGTTACAGAAACTCGTTTTTCCCTCGGATTTATGGCACGCGCACTTTGATCTTCCTTGCATTGGGCCATAAATCTGAACAGAAAAACCTTGATCCGTAACTCAAGTACAAACCTCGAACTCGGTTAGTGAGACGCACATGCATGTTTTACTTAGATCCCTGGTTTTTAGAGCCTTTCGCATAGACACGAACTTTAGTGTTTTTAAGTGACTGACATGATATTTCAAAGGCGAATCGCATGCATACAGCGTATGTATATCTACATTACCAACTACAGCATAAACTATAATTCATTTTATATACAACTGCATTTTCCTTGAACAAACATACGGTTCTCCTTATAAAGGCATTTGTCAATTCCCACCGGCACTGTCACACTTTCGTTCCCAGAACCTCAATCAAACGAGTATGGAGAGCCTAAGAACGAAATTGTTATGGTTTGATTTCGAAATCAAATCACCGCCCAGACAGAACGTCAGCGTCCCCTATACAGCTTCAACGCAATTAAACGAATTTGTAATATGCAAAACTTTGCTCAATTTCCCGACATCCAATGCTATGGAAACAAATGTCGTCGAACGTCGAAATATTCCATAAAACACAAATTAGGAAATATTACGTCGTAGAATCAGTCTCTCAGTGACATCAGAGAACTGTGCCGACACTATTAAAACCTGCTGTGCTTCATTCATCTTACACACGAAAAGAGTCCAGGAAGAAGTTTACTGATGGGTAAAGAAATAAATTGATGAGTAGCCTCATTGAGGAGAAACGTAAGTTTGAGCAAGAAAAATTTCTGAACTGTAACAACTTTGAATACTATATATATATCTATCCTACATCATTAATGTTCTAGTCTTTTCATTGCCATGACATTTATCCGGCAATCTGCAGGTCTAAGGCCCGTGAAAAAGATGAGCAGGTATCTTGCTCAATGTGAATGAAAATTGTCTCATCTCTTCGTAAGGCGCCATTTTTTCTCTTATTTCTACCTCACGTCTTCCCCCACCCCACCCCACTTCACTCTTTGGCCTTCTCTTGCATACAATAAGGTCATGTGCCATGGGAATCAAACGCTTTAACTGAAACCAATTTTTTTCTCTAAATATAAGCGTTAGAACACTTAATCAACCATTTTTGTTTGAAACGAGGCAATTCCACTCATTACCAGACTTCTCCGCGTTGACGAGTTGAGGGAGGGCAACATGGCGACCGTGATCGTCATGTCGCGCTCTTCTGACTCAACTTTGAGAATAAGATGCTGTGGTGACTGAAATTGATGTGACGATAAACCAGCCAAATTAATCCTTCAACTCCCATAAGTGATCAAGAAGGAATTTCTCCTTACAATATCAATACAATAACAAGCAGACAAGTGATAAGAATGAAAGAGAAATATCAATCAGGGGATTATCAGTTGATCCAAAAACAAATTCTCCAAACCAACATCATAAGATTCGTATGGCAGACAGAAAGGAGAATTACTAATGAGATCTGGGGAGTGAAAGGGTTAACCCTTTGCACCCTTACATCATTATGCATATTCTCCATACTGTTCTCTATACATTTCTTCAAGTGCCGACAAGGAGAAACTGTTTAACAATCAAGAGCTTCTCCAGTTGGTGATCATTTCCTATATTCTCATGACCTTAATGCATGATCCGTAGGTGATATTGTGGGGAGAAATTAGATGCTAGTCACTCTAAGGGTTTAAAGTGTTAAGGCACCAAATGTGACAGCGGTTGCCACTGGTGTTTTTTTATTTCCCACTTTTTTTCTCTTAACTTTCTTTCTTTTTGGTTGATGCCTACAAGAAAAAGGCCAAAACCTTCAAACAACTCAGCCAAACTGAAAGCCTTGATCCCAATAAAACATGACCTTAATTTCATAATGGGTCGAAATAAAAGCCGGTTACCAGTGCTCTACTGCTATATATAAGGGCCGATTTTACACGGTGCAATCATGACGCATGCGACAAGCTTGCAACACTCCATACTCCCCTGGGGCCATTTGCACGTGTACAACATTTTTACCTACGACAAGGCAAAATCGCGTATAATACCCCTCCCTCTCATTAAAACTTTCCGGCTATCGAAAAGGAATTCCTCTTCACTCCCGAGTTTTCCAAAACATGTTTTAAAATCCAACGACATTTTTAAGACGTATGCGACAGTCGTAAGCGGGTTGCAGGTTTGATTTAAACTATATAATTCGTGTCGTAGGCCTGTCGTAAGCTTGTTGCACGCGACGAAGTCGTACGGCGTAAATCGGCCATAAAACATGTTACCGCCCGCGTCGGCGGGGAGGCGCTCGTGTTAAAGTTTCGCTTTGCGACCTCTTTTCGCGCACAGCCATCTTTCACACCATTGGAAACCGCTCATGGAAAAAAAGGAACAGCAACCCCTACCTTAATTACAACACGAACAAAACAAACGACTTAATAACCTTTCATTCATGATCCAAGACTCTGTGTCCATTTAACATTGTCCAACTCAAGTTTTCCTCAGTCCATCTCGATATTTGAGAGCTCCACCTTCCGGCGACTACCTGAGAAAAACACCTTTTCTCCTCGCATTCACGTACAGTTCCTTCTGCTTCATCAGTTATCCCACGGCTTAAGAACTTGCACGCAGTCATCCCTCTTCATTTTCTTCAATACATTGATAAGGAAATCCACAGTGGAACTATCTTTTTGTCCCCACTGATAAAGCACGTTTTGAGTAGCTTCGTTGACCTCAAGTTCAAAGTTTTTTATCTCATTCGTAGTAAACTCGAGGTATCCCGCAAGTGTCACCCAGTTTTTGCTTGACTTGGGGTTTAAAAACTTTCCAAGTTCGATGAACACATGAGCGGGAAGGTCCCGAACTAACGTCTTACCTGTGGTAGAGAAATCAAAAATATTATTATCATGTTCTGAGACTTGCAAAAAGTACCATTTTGCTGGTAGATACGGGAGGTCTGGGGAGAGGTCGCAGGTGCGCATAGAGTTATGGGATTAGATTTGGTCATTTGCAGACTTCAGGGGGAGAAGGGTGAGACATACTATGGTCAGCCTTTGCCTTGGAAGGGGTAAGGTTGGTTTCCGTTAAAAATGAATAAATGACACAAGGTACAATCTCTAGCGTGGAGTTCAAATAAAAAAAACGACTTTCACTTCGAAAATCCGAAGGTTGGCACCACTCCGCAGGCCAGCGGTACACGTTCGAAGTCAAGGAGTTTTAATCTCCACCTTGGTTTCTCGTGTTTTCTTATTAAACAAAACACCAAGAGACCGTCACTTTTGTGTAATCGGTGAAGTTGTGGCCGGGGCATAATTCAATTTTTGCTGTTGCTCAATGAAGCAGTTTTAACTCTTTGCCCCGCCTCAGAGAATTGCAGTGTTTAGTGGTAAAGGTAAGTTTTAACCATTTAACTCCCAAGATCTTATTGTCAATTCTCCCCTCTAGCTGTTGCAGATTTCCTTCTAAATTATTTTTGAGAATCTGATGTTAGATGAGGGTAAAAAAATCTACCTGATAACTACCAACATTCTCATCACCTGTTTGCTGGATGATGTAGGAATATTTTAGGGAGAAGTCTCATGTTGATCTCTTTTGGAAGTTAAAGGATTAACAACAAGTAAACAGTAGCGAACCGAGACGAAGAACTTTCCAAAAAAAACGGGAGCTAAACAGTGAAGAGGTGAAAAACAAAACAAAACGACGCAAACAAAACAAACAGAAAAAAAACAACAAAGCAAAATAAAAGACAACAAAACAAAAACAAAAGAAAAAGGTAGAAAGTATTGAAAAGATGCATCACAAAAGAAACCAAGAATTTAAAATAGAAAGACGCTCTAACACTAAAAGAGACCATCGATCAGGCATACGGCGAGTGAACAAATTTCTTGATCCAGCTGTCCATTTTACGTGAAAAAAAAAACAATATTTCAACTCTATTCCAGAGTTGTAGTCATGATATGATTTAACATGACTCTGTCGGAATAGAGTTGAATTATTGTTTTTTCACATTAAATCTAGCGTAAACTATAACTTAGTTTTGTAATAATTTTCTCTCTCGGACCTTCGTTATTCCTTCTTATTCAAATATGTCTGCAGATGTTCTGGAATCTGGATTGTGGATGATGCCCATGCTTTCTTCAACAATCCTTTAGTTTCTCACACATTGTAGTATTCAGTTAGAACTATTGCAAAGTATGAAAATTACTTCGATCACGAATAGGATTACAGGAAATGCTAAATAGCAACAGACCTTGGATAAAAAAAGATTTGAACTATGGAAAATAATCAACTAAAAATTGTCTAGTTCAAAAATGTCACACAACACATAGAACGAATTGTCACGAAAGTGTCACGCGGCCACGCGCGCTTCTTCCAACTCCTCAACGATTACTTTGAATACAGACCGAATTCTTTCCCATTTAAGACATACTTACTTTTTCCGTTGCCTACGCTGACGCCCTGTAACGAGCCACTACTGCCCTGAGAGTCAGAATCTCGTTGATGACCATTTGGTCTCGTGGAGCAGGCCGTCCGCCTTCCTCGAAGTCCGTACGAGGATCGCGCATGAGCTGGTGTCTCCGATGAAGTCGGCGGCACAAAGTCATATTTCGCTTCCTCCATTTCTTAAACAATTACAAAAACAACAGCGAATTTGTGAAAGATTCTGTCTCTCAGTCCCTCTCAGGATAACAGCTAGAGGAAAAAAGAAAGAGATTCTAATATGGCGTCAGTCTATTTTTCAACGCTGTCGACTGTCAACTATTCTGGAAAACGTGATTTATTTAGCAGAGATCGCGTGGTACACGTAAATGAGTGTATAGGCGGCTTTTATCGGTAAACTTCGAGCCAGAATTGAATAACTGTCCATCGTTTAGCATACTTCACTAGCTACGCGTTGTTGCAAGTTTTCATTGCATTTTCTCAGGATTAAAATTCATACAGAGTTATATTCCGTAGAGGTGAAAACAAGGGATTGCATTCAGACATAGTTTGACGCTACTCTGGTTTGCAGATTTAATGAATGTAACCGAAGAAGTTACGATTGTCCACCTGGTTGCCGTGTGAACGTTAATATATTTTATTTCAGGGGTTGCATTGTTTCTTCATGGTTTCGCAAAGCGTTTGGTCGAGAAAACTTGCATCTCCTCTCAGTCAATAAGGAAGGAGAACTCAAATCAGCATTCTGTCAACATCGTCACGTCCAACAGTTTTAAATAGCGTCTGATCTCCTCTTCAAGCGTAATATGTGTAGGTGTCAACGAGTAACAGGTAAACATGCAAAATATTTGCTGCCAGGATTCTCGTTCGCGAACTACGCAAAATGTGTCTTTTGTCATTTTCACGTTGTTGTTAAGCAAGTGAAAATTAGGAAATCTACGAAGTGTTTTATAAAAACTCACGTGGGGTTCTATTTTCCTCTTCATTAAATCGATTGATTCGCAACTTTCTCGTTATTGTCGCCGTTCTGTTTGGCGTAAGAGCCTTAATGCTTACGGACAACAAACCCTTTTGAGACTTCGCTCAGCTTGACGATTTGACCTCAAAAAATACATTACCTTGAGGGTCATAAGCCTTGTTTCCTTCATGCCGATTTTTTTTCCTCCAGTAACAGTAGAAAGCCACAGCAATTAGAACGAGGAGCGACACAGCGACAGTGATGCCAATGATATATGTTATTGAGTTAGATGTTACTTTCTCTACGGGGCTTAATGAACTCCCAGCATTGGTTGGTAAATTAGGCGCTCGAGAGACTGCAATGATTGAAATAAAGCGTAAGTATATATCTGCGTTAATGACCAAACGTGAGGTCAAGATAGCTGGATATTGGTCAGTTAAGCACTCAATAGCCACTTTTGTTCTAAAAAAACCTCCGATCCAAACAACATTTTTGGGAAACTCTACGAGACTGATCCTTAAAGGAAAGTCTTTGAATTTCAACGACAAACACTTGAATGGCTATGGAAACAAAAATGGCGATAGCTTTTGCAGTCATATTCATGGCTCAAATTGAGAAACAGCTACAAACTAGCTACAAGCCCACATAAACCATTTATTTGGAAAAGATACATTGATGACATTTTTTGTGTGTGGACCATTCCCGAAACCGAAATCAACAACTTCAATGATTTTGGTAACTCATTCCCCGCCAGTTTTAGATTCACGCACGAAATTTCATCAGCAAAAATTGTTTTCCTCGATACTGAAGTTTTTACAGGACCGAGATTTACCGATAGAAAAATCCTTGATTTTGAAACATAATGCGAGCCGACAGAAACGTTCCAATATACACAATTCTCTTCACACCACCTTCTCATTAAGAAGGGTTTTTGTAAAATGAGAGGCACTACGCTTACTGAGAACAAACTCGGTTGAAGAACTTGACTTGCCTTGACTTGCCTTGTAGAACGAAGCTACCCTCAGGACCTTGTCGAAAAGGTCTTAGCCGATGCACAATTCTCATCACGCAACACGGCTTTGACAAACAAACCGAAATCATTTAAAAAGATTTTGACATTCATTAGGACTTTCAACCCTGCTTACCAGAATCTCAGAAAGATTTTTATGAAACACTGGCAACTTATTTCAGGCAACAATAACTAGGCGCAAATATATCCTAATCCACCAATTGTTGCTTATCGGAAGGTCAGGTCTCTGAAATATTCGCTTCTTAGAGAACAACTTCCTTCACTTTAATTACACAACAAAATTTTTAGAAGTTATACACGATAAAGGTTTAGTGAAAATACTACGAGACAATTTCATCCCTTCCCCATCCCTTCGTCGTAAGCTCGTGACAAGACGGGAACCCTTTCTTTTTTTGCTGCACAGATTTTTCATGCTGCACAGAGACGCTAATGAGCACGAAATTTATCACAAAACTGAATATGACATGATTAGATAATGTAAACGAGCAACACCGCTCTTTTAGCATGAGAGTTCGGTCCCTTGGGGTGGGGGGTAGGGATTTGTGGTGTGTGACAGCACACTGTGCTTCCCCTCCCACTTGTCAAGTTCTTCTGTTAGATGTGCCATTCATACTTCTCGTACAAAAAGAATGAGCATCCTCTTTTTGATTCTCCTCTCCCCAACCCCCTCCCCACTACTTTCATGCCTCCCCTCCCACCTGACAAGTTCTTCTGTTAGATGTGCCATTCATACTTCTTATATGAAAAGAAATAGCATTGTCATTTTATTCTCGTCCAACCAACCCCCCCACTTTCCCTCTCCGACCAGTTTTTTTTTCAGTTTTTCTCCTCTATTTTTTGTTGATGCGTATACTTTTTTTGCGTTCATCCAGAAAGTCCGTTTGATTACGATGCTCCTTAGCCTGCTGCTTCCTTTCTTCAGTTCCCTTTTTTCGTTTGATATTTCTTGTAAACTGACCCATGGTCGATGCAATCTGGATGTTTTAGAGGGTGGGTTTTAATCTGCTTACACAGAAAAACTGGGTGAAAGAGTGACTTGTCTTGCTAACTGAAATCAGAGAATACCTATGGCCAACTCGTGCATAGAGTTCTTCATCTAGCGATGAAACGTGGTTGTGAACCTGTAATTATATTTCTTGCAGCAATACAAGGTTACTCTTATCTCAAAAGCCGAGCATGGTAACCATCAACTTCGCTGAGAAATAAACGCATTTATAGTCTTTAGAAACAGCACAAAATAGTATCCTGCGTTTATCGAATTTCTGTTCGCAAAATTTGTCAAATTTAGACGCTGCAATCCAAGTCTTTCTTCTCCTGCACAAGGCAAATTTTGCTATTTTCCATTCATATGCCACGTTCCGCCTCAGCTGCTCAAGAAATGGTTGAATTGCAGCGCAACAGTCTTTGTTTACAGCCTTAATCCTCTAACTCCCAGATCAAATTTGTAATTCTCCTACTGTCAACCATACAATTCTTATGATGTTAGTTCAGAGAATTTAGTATTGAATCAACTAATTATCCCCAAATTGATATTTCTCTTTATTCTCATCACTTATCTGGTTGATATTGTATTGATATTGTAAGGAGAAATTCTGTCTTGGTTACTCATGGGAGTTAAAGAGTTAACTCCCGCGTGCATCTGATAACAAAACTCATTAAGTTTTCTGCCTCGGAACAAATTACCTCAGAAGGCATTTTAGGCGATCGCAATATTTTTGTCTGATTGGAAATAAACATATGCGGTAGTGAATTCCACACGTTTTCTTTTGTCAGAAAAGCACAGGATTATTTTCGTCTGCTTCCGACCGATTCAGTCGCCAGTGCTCAGTTTACATAACATAATCGAATTTAATCATGGTTCATGTTTGACATCAGATCATAAACAAGCGAAGCGATTCACAGTAGTGGGTTTGTGCCTAAACTCGATAAAATTTTTTTCACTTGCAAGATTATATCTAAAGCAACGATGCTTAATATGTAACAAAGCCTTACTAACGTCACATGCGGTTACTACTCCAATGTGGTTTCGTGCTCGAGCGAGTTCGGGATGACTAATTACCAGTGTCTACATCTTAGTGAGTGAGTGACTCATTTGCATATCTGAGTCTTCATAAAAACTCTTTTGCACGAGTTAAAAATGAGAAAGGAAAGAGAAAGAAGAGAAAGAACATTGACCATAGCAACAGGTTACCCAGGTGTTCAAACTTTCCCCACCCCCTCCCCTCCTCGGTTGTTTATTTCTGAGAGAGAGGTAGGAGCGGGAAAAGCAAGAAAAAAGGATGAGGGAAGAGTGAATTAAAACCTGGCTCTGTACCACAGGTTCACCAGCCTTTAAACAATATAAAACGAAAGGAAAAGGAATTAATGGAAGAGATATAAAGTGCGTTGTTTTTTTTGTTTTTTCTTTCTGCGTTTTCTGGTTAATAACTGTATTCAAAATTTGAAATTATCGACCTTAGTGAGTTCTCCTTGACCATTTTTTTGCGCATTGAAAGTGCAATCTGGCGAAAAAAAAGTGTCTCCATTTAGCGCGCGGCCAAAACGATCATGTTACGTAGCTGTGACATAGAAAACTGTGCAGAAACTTTGTCGCAGAAAGGAGGAATGAAGAGGAGACGACGAACGGACGTTGCGCCAAATGAGGTTAGATAAAAGAATGATAGACCTACACCGGGTATTTCTATACACCACTTTCCAAAGGATGTAGCTGTATGGCCCAAATGGACGCGTTTCCATCGTAGTCATAGGGGAGATTTTACTCTTTAAAGTCGTCGGCCTTATGCTCCGTTTCGGCTTCTAAGACGGCTGTCACGAACACATACCACTGGTCAAATCAGGGGAACTTAGATTGCCAGTGAATTCAACTGAAAAGAATGCTGATTAAGGGGCCTATTCCACATCGGACACGATTATACCACATTCTTTTCGGCTGACATTACGCAAGCGAAGAATGGTGAGCTTCTCAATGTTGCTTATTTCACGCGCTTGAAAGATACTTATACTCTTTGTCTTTCTACATGATTACATTTGCGCTTTTCTGATCGTTTGATAATCCTACCAGTTGTAGTTTCCATCGAATTTTACAAACAGAAATACATCATTTGTATTAAAAGTCAAGCCCTTTCCTGAGCTGACCGGTATCCTGTTGCCTGAACAGTGCGAAACCTCTGGCGGATATTGGCATAAACACAAGCTCGAAGGGGCCTTGTGTTCTCCCCACCTGGGTTTCCGAAAATCCATCCCACGAGCCATCAATTCCCCTATGCCCTCAAGAAACTAAAAGTAGCAAAAATAGCAATGTCATCGTGATAACAGCACTGCAACGCGACGAATTGTAAAACACAAATACTATTGAATTTGATATTAGCGAATCCGAGTGCTGTATGAAAGTCAGTGCATACGGAATATTCATTTACAAAACTGATGTCCGCAGTTATTTGCCAGTGAGTGAAATGGGTCACGTGGCAATGCTGCAATCAAACTAAAGAGGTCTTTCTCTATTAAAACTCTTATTGATGAATATAAACTCACTCGTTTTCATTTAAACGGCTCGACGACGATAGCCTCTACCTTTACAGGAAAGGAGCAACTTGCAGTAAAACCAATCCATGACTTTTCGGTGAAAATTATCGTGCGTGCTTCGTGATTCATCTGATTCTTTCGATGCTGCCGTCAAAAGTAAGCTTTTGGTTTGCCAAACAGCAACGAAACCCAAGAGCACTGACCATGCAAGGCGAACCTTTGCCGCACCTAATACGAAAGAATAATTTGTTCGGGCAACAGAAAAGAACACAGCTTCCCATTCTTGCCATAGAACTTAAAATTTAGTAACGGGAGTGTTTTGATCTAATCTTGACCTTAACACCGCAAGCGAGAAATCGTCTTTGTCCTTTTTTTAGTCTAAGTCTAAATCTTTGTTTGATGCACACAGTTCTTCTGAACCGTACTTGCAACTGTCTTTTCTCTTTTAATACTTGAGTACGATGTATCACAACTCTCTAAGAGCTTGCTGAAGGTAGATAGACATACTTATCAAGCATCATTTCAAGAGTTTTTCAAAGCTGACTGATACAAAATGGCAAGAGATATAAGAGATTTGTAAGTGACAACCAAGAATGTTCACACTTTTCTACGTTATCGCCGGCTAAATCGTTACCAGTCTACCGGACACTTTAAGGACAAACTAAGAGCACTTTAGGGCCCGAAAAAACCGATTTTCATTTGTTTGAAATTTTACTTCTATCGGAAATGGTTTGAATATATGATAAGCTAAATAAATACGCAAAAAAAACAGTCCTTCTCATAGGCACTTTAAGAAGAGAAGAG